TCTCAGTCCAGATTTTGTTGAAGATTCTTAGTAAATGTTGTTTAGCTACTTGAGGAAGATTTTTCAGAAAGATAGTAGGTATGTCGTCAGGTCCTGCAGTAGTTTCTTTCAAGTCGTTAAGGGCTTCTTCCATTTCGTGTTCGGAGATTATTATATTCACTGGGTCTTGGTTGTTCTGTATTGATATTGGTATTGATTCTAGCTCTGTTTTGTGTTTTAGAAATTCATCGCTGTAATTTTGGTTGCTGGAACTTTTGAGGTAAGTTTCACTAAATGCTTCAACTATTGCTTCATTCGTTGTGTATGTTGTGTTTCCATCCTTCAAGCATTTTATAGGTGAGTATGACTTGGCTCCGGTTATGCTTTTGATCTTCTTCCAGACTGTTGCTAATGGTGTTGAACTATTTATACTACTTACAAACTTTTTCCAAGAATCCTTTTGACTTTTCTTTGTTATTAGTCTTGCACGTGACCTCTTTCGCTTTAAATATATCAGGTTGTCAGTAGTTCTTTGTCTTTTGTATTTATTTAATGCTTTCTTGGTTGCTGTGATTGCTGCGCCGCACTCTTCGTTCCACCATGAAACGGAGTTTTTGTTTATCATTGGTTTGGTTTTACCGATGTGATTATGTGCTGCGCTCAAGATGATATTGTTGAAATTGTATAACACTTTGGTTAATGTCGCCAACTATTTGAAGTTCTTGGATGTGTCGTTCTATGTAGTCCGAGAATTTCATCCAGTCGGCTTTATACAAATTCCACCTTTCGAATGGTGTAGTTCTGTTTTGGACTTCCGTATTAGATATTCTGATAGGAAAGTGGTCACTTCCATAAAGGTCATCTAGTACTTGCCAGTGCAGTGAGGTTATCAGATTTGTTGAGGTTAAAGTTAGGTCTATTGCTGAGAATGTTCCATTTCCAAGATCAAGCCTTGTCTTTGTACCATCATTCATTATGCTAAGATCAGTTGTATCTAGTAAGTCCTTTACTATTATTCCTCGAGCATTGTTTCTTTTGGAACCCCAAACAAGGTGGTGGGCGTTAAAGTCGCCCATGATGAGTCATGGAGAGGGTATCTGTTGGAGTAGCATTTCTAGTTCATTAATGTCTAATTGATAGTTCGGTGGTATATATATGTTGCAGATGCTGATCTTTTGAGGGACTTCTATTGTGATAGCAACTGCCTCTAGCTGTGTATTTAGATTTATAGGTTTCGCTACTATATTACTTTTAATATATATAGCAGTGCCACCGCTAGCTATTTGATTGGAAGTATAATTACGGTTCTTAAAGAATCCCTTGTAGTCTTTTGGTGAGTGTGTGTTGGTATCAGTAAAGCGAGTTTCCTGTAAGCAGATTATGTCTGGATTTTGATCTGATATGAGTTTCTGTAGCATGTTCAGATGACTGTAGTACCCATTGAGGTTCCACTGCAACAATGAAGTTAGTCCAATGTGCATTACGATTTTCAGGTATTTAGAAAGTTGAATCTATGGAGGAGGTATCACTAAGACATTCGTTAGTGTTGTTGTCAATGTAGCGTTCTAGCTTTTTACGGAGTCTTGTGCATCTGTTTTTGACTGTTTTATCGGTTATGTGGGAGTATACTAATAGTATCATTTCTATAAGTCCTTTAATGTCATCCGTATAATCTTTAATTATATTTGTGATATCTTGTGTTCCATGACTGTTCTCGAGAAGGCTTTTAAACTGGTCACTATTCAAGGGAAGGGCAGGCATCTGGTTGTCTATGAATGTTTTGGCGGTTGCTAGAGTGTCTTGGGAGATGTAGGATGACTGCATATCTGTTTTATGTTTCTTTGATTTAATATTGTTGGGAACTGCAAATGTAGGAGGGGTTGAATTTTCATGCGTAGGAGTTGTCGGTGAGATTGTTTCTGAGAAGTAGCGTTTTGGGGATGGGTTGTTGTGAGTAGCTATATATTTACTGCCTGTTGAAGTGTGTGGTATAACTCTATTTTGTTGATCCGGTTTGTTTTGTTGGGTGTAATTTTGTATTTCTGGTATCAGCTCTTGCGTTTTTCTGGTGGGGATTGGACTTTTGTCGATTACTGATTGGCTAGTATTTGGTAGATCTACATCTGCTTCACGCGGGTTAGGTATATGTTGAGATAGTGCTGTTTCTTGGGTCTCTGTTGTTATTATTTGTTGATTGCTTGTGTGGTGTGTGCTTGTTGATTTAGGTTCTTTGGTAGATTGGGTCTCATGTGGATTTGTTTGTCGTTGCTGGGAGGGTAGTGGACACTGGGAAGCTATATGACCTTGTTTGTTGCATTTGAAACACTTTTGACTATCTAGCGATAGAAAAATGCGGTAGGCTAGGTTTTCATGAGTTGGGTGTAAAACCTTATAAGATACAGCTGGTGCAAGAATTGAAGCCATACGACCTCCCACAACGTTTCCAATTTGGTGAATGGGCGCTGGCAAAGTTGGAGGAAGATCCACATTTTTATCGAAAAATTGTGTTCAGCGACGAAGCTCATTTCTGGTTGAATGGGTACGTTAACAAGCAAAATTGCCGCATCTGGAGTGATGACCAGCCAGAAGCATTGCAAGAGGTACCAACGCATCCCGAAAAAATCACTGTTTGGTGTGGATTATGGGCCGGTGGCATCATCGGGCCGTACTTCTTCAAAGACGACAATGGCCGGAACGTAACTGTGAATGGCGAGCGCTGCCGTGCGATGATAACAAACTTTTTTTTGCCCAAAATGGAAGAACTCGACTTGGCTAACATGTGGTTTCAACAAGACGGTGCCACATGCCACACCGCACACGAAACAATGGCCCTATTGAGAGGCGAGTTCGGTGGACAGTTTATCTCACGTTTGGGGCCCGTCAATTGGCCGCCTAGATCGTGTGATTTAACGCCGTTGGACTATTTCTTGTGGGGCCATGCTAAGGCTAATATCTACAGGGATAAACCAGCAACGATTGACGCACTGTAAGCCAATATTGAAGCATTTAGTGGAGAGATACCGGCCGATATGTTGGAGAGAGTGTGCCAAAATTGGACCTTGCGCATGGGCCATCTAAAGCGGAGCCGCGGCCAACATTTACATGAAATAATCTTTAAATATTAAATTAAATCGACCGTTCTATCGACTCAAATGAAGATTTAATCGTTTTTTCAAATGTTTTGTGTGTTTTTTGAAAATCAAATCCTATACCTCTTAAAAAATCACCCGTTATATAGTAGAAAACACCAACTTTATCACACCCTAATCAAATTTGCAGCATAAAAATAACACATGTTGCAATTACAGCATATCAACCTATTATCATTTCAATGCAAAATAAGTCTATAACGCATAGGTGGCTGAGCAAAATAAAATGACAATTGTTTTTATTAATCACAGCTGTCAGAATACGTTTAAAATAGTTTTGGGTAGTTAAGGTTTTCAAAATGGGTAGAGAAAACCTTATTAATGAGAAAATTCGGTTACTGATAATTAAATTTTTTAATTCTGGGAAATCGAACTCAGAAATTGCAACTTTGTTAGACTTATCGCGGTACAGTGTGAGAAATATTGTTAGAAGATATAACGTAACTGGTTCAGTTAATATGAAGCCACGATATGTGAAAAAAAGTAATATCACAAATGCCGACCAAAGAGCATTAAGAAGAATAATCGTGAAAAACAGGCGTGCCCATTATTTACAATTAAGTGCTCTGTGGAGTGACGCTGTTGGAAGGAGAATTTCGAGGTCCACAACTCATAGAGAGGCCCACAAACTGGGATTTAGCACTTGCAAGGTAAGTTTTCTTATAAAAAAAGTGAAGTAAAAACCCTAAAGTTGCACAACTCGTTTATAGGCCAAAGAAAAGCCACTATTAACTCCACTAAAAAAGAAAAATCGGCTTAGATGGGCTAAAGAACATAGACAATGGACGCCTCAACAATGGTGTGCAATACAATGGAGTGATGAGGCCCGATTCGAAGTTTGTGTTGGTGACAGTCGCAGTGGAGTTATTCGCAAAAAAAAGGAAACATTCCGTTGACTGTCTGAAGAGAAAAGCGAAATTTCCAGCATCCATTATGGTCTGGGGCAGTATGTCATCAAAAGGAGTAGAAAAACTTCATTTTATTGATGGAAATGTGGATACAAACAAATTTTTGGCAATTTTAGAAGAATCGCTTTTACCAGTGATGGAAGAATGTTTGACATCCGGCCAAGATTTGGTGTTTCAGCAAGATGGCGCAGCGTGCCATACCTCAAAAAAGGCTATAAAATGGATGGAACAAAATAATGTACCACTTTTGAAATGGGTTTATAGCAGTCCAGATCTGTCACCTATTGATACTTTGTGGCACGAGATGAAAAAGGTTCTACGACAACATCCTGCTCATACATACACCGAACTGAGACAAAAGCTTCAAGAAATATGGGAATGTTTTACACCAAATTTTTGCCAAAACTTGGTTAACACTATGCCCCAAAGAATTTCAGCAGTAATAAAAAATAAAGGTGATGTTACCCAATGGTAATCTTTCAATTGTTGCTTTGTTAGCTTCGCGCATTTATTCGCACATTGTTTATTTGTTCAGATGTTCTATTAGTTATAGGTCTAAGTGATTTCAAATATGTATTTTTTACGACTAGAGTGTATCTAAAATGTTTTTGAGAAAATAAACTGTTTTAGAAGTAAATAGTTTCGTCATGTTCAGTTTATAAAGGCATATTATGGTACAAATCTTGAAGTGGGCCAACTGAAGCGGGAAGGGGCTCGTATACTCTTTGCGCGGGCACTCTTAAAATTTGGCTCAGGACGAACGAGTTTGCTGGCTGTTCCGGCCTCCGATACTACTAAGCTTAGAAGTGTACAAGCATACTCGCTATATCCAAAAAGGTTTGAAATGAATTGAGGCAAAAACACCTTCATACATAAATTCGGCTTTGCAATCGAAAAGTTCTATAATTTTGATAGGTACTGTATGTGCACTCACAACATTAATGCTGACCATTGTTATTTTCATATGATAAGTACAACCATCGGGTGGGGTGACTAATAGTATAAAATAGGTACCACAGACATCCAGAAGTTTATTTTTCGGTTTATTGTACCGATCATATTGTACCGATCAACTTCGCTGGCTGATAGAGGTAAGAGTCTTTTATTTTCTATACGATATTGACTAATACTTTTTAAGAAATTTCTTTATAATTATTGGTATTACTGTGTACGTTTTCCTTTTATTTTGCACACAAAATCCAAAAATACTTGAAAAGCTCTAGATTTAATGTTTAATAACCGTATTTCTTGATTCATTCAAAATGCCACATTATATCAAGAATAAGTAAATGAAAACTTACTTATTTTCAGCAGTCTTTGGATTTTAGTATTAATAATAGGCATTACTCTTAAAGAACTTAGCAGACGAAGGTCATTCTCTTGCCTGGTTTTGTCCACTTTTTAATACACGCTTAGCATTCTGAAAAATACAGTTACTATTTTGTACCTGTTATAATCCATTCTGTGATAATTTTGAGGTTTTGATTGTAAAAAATTACAAAAAACAAAATAATAAGAAATGGAGTCAAATAGTTCTCATGCATTAATATCGAATATTTTCAATTTATCCAAACATACAAACTCTGAATCACTTAAAATTGTTTTTGAAGCCTATAGAATATAAGAAATGAGATTTTAAATATTCAGTTCAAAAGTTTGTAGTGATATTTGCTTAAAAAATGGAAATCTAGTGCCCTCTATTTTTTAAAAATAAGCTCCAGTGTAGTCACTTCAGAATCAGAAAAAAGAGTTTGGGTATTTTTTAGAAAACATACAAAAAATGAGTAAAGTATATTGGCTTCACATAAATTCATGTACGAGTATACAAATTCTGGATCTGCCCTTATCTCACATATGCCTGACTACTTTGGGGCGTAGTCGAAGAATTTTCGGAAAAGTGATGTCTTTGTAAATTCCGATATATTAATCTAACAAAAAAATTCCTGATCCTCAAATTAGAGTATAATCGGAACCAATATCTCTAAAAATAAAGTGGTGGCGGGGTATTCAAGGGTTTCCGTAAATAACACCCTGTATCTTAACGGCTCAACCGATTTTAACAAGTTTGGCTTAGTTGAAAAGAGCTATTCTTGAACTACAAATGTTATAATATTTAAAGTTTTTCTAGTTTCACATGTGGCTGCTAGAGGGCCTTTTTCGACATCCCGACAGAAATGGTGAATTTTCTCAAAAAATTAATTGCATTGGTATAATTTTTTTTTAAAAAGTAGCTTAATAATGTCAGACAAGCTTACAAAAACGGAATCTTGATATCTTGTTCCTAACCAAAAATTTAGGCGAAAGAAAATTTTATACGGAAATCCCTTAAATTTTTATTTTTTTAATAACATTTCTGGAATTTCTTTTTATTATTAACATGTGGCCCTAAAAAGTTGTTGGAGGACCAGAGACGAAACCTCATATTAAAATTTTAATTATGTCGTCTTATGTAGGAGAAAAAGTAGCAATGTTAACATGCAATTTTGGAATCCCATCTCAAATAAGGTCAGGAAAAATAAAAGTGATTTTAGCATAAATCTAGTAGGGCTAACAAATGACTATCTGATAATTTCAAGGCCTACCTAGGAAATTCTGCTTTTTCTGAAATAACTAAGGTTTGGCTACATCAATGTATTACGTATTATTATACATTTTTGGAATTAAAATTGAAAATTCTATGCATTTGTGCAAACATCTGGAGGACAAGAAACGAAACGTCACATTGAAATTCTAATTATGCCACCTTGTAGAGGAGGAAAAGCTGCACTGTTAGTGTGCAATTTATTTTGAAATCCCACTATAAATAAAGTCAGGGAAAAATTAAATTAATTAAATTTTGGGAAAATTTGTCTAAATGTAACTTTTCTATGCCTCCTGTAGTGCCTGCTGTACCTACCAAAAGGCCCTGACAGCGCTGAGCAGCTCAACGAGGACGAGTTTGTGGTCGCCTTAATCGAGAAGGACGGGGTTTCTAGAAACGCCACCTGCTGGCATACAGTATACTTGAGAAGGTAGGGAGTACTAAAGTTTGAATACATATTCATTCTTTATTGATTCAGAATGCGAGATGTAGCAAACAAGAGTTGCGGAAGAAGTCCAGTTTTGCTGCAGGTACTATAGCTGTGATTATATGTGTGTAGTCGACAAGGCTTTGAGATATATCTCGCACTCCGAATCCTGCATTCTGGATTATTAAGGAATTTAAGTGTGTTCGACCCTCAGCCTATGAAACCGGCCTCTGTTTTTTCTTATGATTCATATATATTGTCAAAAGTTTCGTAACAAATTTTATAAGCAACTGATTTTATTCAGTTTGAGGACCCGTTACAAAGTTGTCACAAACTGAGAAAACCCATCATCTAGTCTTTGAAGTACTCGACATTAATGTTGATAAAATTATATTTTCCGTTCCCGAAGAATGTATTCAGGAGAAGCAAGGGGAACAGCCGCCCTCCTTCCAGGCATGAGAAAGTGAAATGAACAGATGAAATGATGAAAAAATGTTCTATGTACTCTTCACGTCTTGAACCAATATATATATTAGATGGGGAAATATTTAGGACTAGTTATTTGGTTTATGCAGAAAGTTTTCAGCTAAAATATTTTGAGCTCTATGGATCTTGCGGTTATAATGCAAAACAATACATGGATCTATCTATTCAGATGTATCAGATGTAGGATTCTCAAATTGTTTCAAAACTCTCTAAGTCCTTCCATCAGTAGAAAAGGAATATACTTCAAAAGTACGGCAACTTGATTACAAGCGTCTTGAAATAAACTTTGTAGAAAATGAAACTATTATGGTTATTTGTATTCATATTCTGATGAATATTTTAAATAATTTGAATTTAGAAAACTGATTGTGAAACATCGTTGAAATATCGACAAACAGAAATCGCTTCCACTCTGATTTTTGAAATATGGGACAATATGATTTATTTACTGGATAATATCCTGCCTTACGCAGTAATATAAATCTACGTTCGGATTGACTACACAAATTTTGGTTGTATTAGCATTAAGATTTGCACTTGAAATATATGTTTTGCTCGATTTCAAAATTTCTGAACACTCTAAAAATGGAAACGCAAATTTTTGTTTTTAGGCCTCCAGAAACTCAAAAAGACACTCAATGGAAGATTTATTTTTGTTTCACTGGCTGTTAAATGAAACCATATACGTCTTAGAAAAAAAAGTATTGACACTTCGGTGGCGGTATTTTTCACCGAGGTGGGTGAAATGCAGTGAGTTTTTTCTTTTCACATGACACATAGAAGTAAATCGGCGAAACAATACAAGATCAGCTTTAAAAGCTACATAAGCAAAAATAAAACTTGGGGTCAAGGATTTATGTTTTTTATCCTTACACTTTTAAACTGATCTTCGGAGGCAACAGGTATATTTCATAGAGTAACCTTGTGTCAAAGTTTTGTCACAACTGAAGAGGTACTTTTCAAGATAGAGGAGGCCAGTGATTATCTTTACTTCCCACGCCTACTGGCGAGGAAGTATTGTAATCGCGAAAGCTAGCGTAGTGTCTATCGTAGAATTGACCATCTCATGAAATGATTGAGCATTTCATGAAATAAATAATAGTCATTCAGGAGAGATCGTATCGTAAAATAGGGTGACTATAGAATATCTGATAAAAATCCAGAATATAATAATAATAATAATGTTGATTTGCAACATACAGTTAGGTAAAAATAGTGGCAAAATACATTTAAATGCGATATGGTACAAAAAAGGGCTGAAGGCATTTAAAAATGATACAAGTTCAGCCTTTTACCTAGTACACATTCAGATATACACATATACATACGCATACATAATACACAAATATACATATTTATATATAAAAAGAAAGATCTACCTTAGAAAGCCTCGAATAATAAATGCGAGTTATAGTACAAGAAAAAATTTTGTTTTCATTAGTTTGGTCGCTTTCAAAAATATTTTTTTTATATTTGATTTTAAACGGGTTTGGATGCAGAATCTTAGAGTCATTAGGAATTTGATTGTAAAGCCGGTAAATGTTGTATGAGAAAGATCTACAAAAAAGAGAAGCTTGATGAGGAGGAGGTGATATGTAGCTCCGAAACCGCAGATTTCAGTTATGAACATCGGTGCGAAAAGTTATTCTATCGAATAAATATGGTGGTTGCATAATTTTCTGAAAAAGATTACATACATGCAACTCACATGCAACTTATGTGAAACTCTTTCAAACTAACGAATAGCATAAATAAATCGTAGGCACGACTTCTGTACACGTTCAATTCTATCCATGTCAATCTTGTCTAAGCAAAACCCATAAAGGCTGTTACAAAAATTAAAATGGCTGAGTACTAGTACTTCACAAAGCAATATTTTAAGTTTAACAGGGAGGACATATCGATGAGCATATAGAACTTTTAGAGAAACATAAGCTTTTTGGATACATTTATTAATATGAGGCTTAAATCTTAGATATAAGTCAACATCTACTAGCAAATTTCTCACAGTGGCAGAACAAGATTCACTTTCTATTTTGACATAAAAAGTGGGCTCAATATTGTCTTTCAATCTGCCAAATAACATGAGTTGTGATTTGCTTGCATTAATCTGTAGACCATGATTTTCCGAAAATAGAACTAATCTTTCAATATCTCGCTTAATAATGGCCAATGCATCACATTGCTCGTTAGGATTAAAAGAAAAATAAAGCTGAGTATTGTCAGCATACAAATGTACCTGACAACTTCGGAGACATTGGGAAAGGTTTGAGGTATGAATACTAAAAATCAGAGGTCCCAAAATAGAGCCTTGTAGAATACCCGAGAGGATGACATCTTTGGAGGACATACGTTTACCTGTTTCTACATATTGTGTTCTATTAGTTAAATAGTGGCACATAAGCGTGCTAGCAAATTTGGAAAACCCTATATAGTGTAAAATACCAAACAGCATTTCGTGATTTAGCTTATCAAATGCCTTGGAGTAGTCCAAGAGTACAAGAGCGGTGACTTTTCTGGAATCTGTTGCTTTGAAGATGTCATCAGTTATATTTAATAGTGCAGTTTCGCAGCTGCATCCTTTCCTAAATCCCGATTGATGGTCTGGTAACAAATTGTTCTCAGTTAAATAATCTCTTATTTGTTGGTCCAATATAATCTCCATTAGTTTTGATAGCACTGGTAAAATACTTATGGGGCGAAGATCATTGTAGTCGTTAATATCAGACTTCTTTGATATTGGTATAGTTTTGGCAATTTTCCATGAGTCTGGAAATTCTCTATCTAAAATACAGGAGTTTATTATATTTGTAATGTAGGGGAGATTTTATGGGAATACAATAAGATCATTTCAAGATTTAGACCATCAGCACCTATGGCAAGCGATTTAATTCCAAGAAGTGCATTTTTAACGACATCCTGAGAAACTGTGTGAAATTCAAAAAGAGTGTTGATGTTAGTACGCGTATTGCGATAATAGTAATCCAAAGTGTCATAGTCTATTGATGAGCTTGCTCGAGAAATCTGAAGAACATGGTTATTTATGTCATCCGGATTATTCAGCTGATCGGGAATACAACCTGTTTTTTTGTTGCTAATATTTAAATTTAATAATTTTTTCCAAAGCACTTCAGTTTGATTGATATTTTTATCAATACATTATTGCAAATAACTTTTCTTTTCATTATATATGGCAATACTCGTTTGATTTTTCATTTGTGTATCATTTTCCCAATTGGCAGCAGTTTTGTTTTTCTTAAATTTCCGGAATTTGGTTTAATCATGCGCTTATTAGAAAACGTTAACCATGGGGGGTTTTCGAACTTTAAATTGAATTTCCTTTACATCGAAGATATTGAATAGTACTTCATTCAAAAATAAGACCTTTTCCTCACCTTTTGGTAAATAGATCAATTGTTCGAAAAGAGAAATTTCCAAAAACTCATTGAGCAAGTCTTTATCTAGATCTAGAAAATAATTATTATATTAAAAAATTCTTAAATTCACGTGACGTCGGTTCAATCTCAGAAACTCTTGGCCACTCCTTCAGTACGAGCTTAAGTCGCTCGTAGTTCTACTCAGGATCATTCGTATTTGAGAATACTTTTGCACGAAAATAGTTTGTTTGCCTTGGGTATCGGCTTATTCGTTACCAATACAGAACATCACTATCATAGCTCTCTGGGTTTCTGCATTTCTACATTAAATGAGCGATCCCTCAAGGTATCGTTTTCTACTAAGAACGTGAAATTGGAAAAATAAACTTGGGCTAGTTCTGTATAAGAGTGATGAAGTCGTTGTCGATTTGAGAACATAAAACACGACCATTAAATTTATTTCCTAGAAATTCCATTTTATTTTTCACGATCTCCATGTCTACTATGGAGAATATCTCCTTAACCATGTGATAACAAACTATTTTTTCAGGTCGACTAACGTCTTAAGTCTGCTGCTGAGGACAACTCAACATCGAACTTCATTCCACGTTTGCTAACTTGGTGAACAATACAGAAGCTTGATTTGTTGTTCATAACAGTCACCTTTGTCTACGTTCGGCTCTTCACACTTTTGTGAAATTATTACTTGGTTTCCTTCAAGTAACGTCCAATTTTTTTGTTCACCTTTCTCTTCTTTAACTTCAATTGGAATGATGTCTCCTTGCGATCGCTGCAGACTAATGTTTCTTATAACTTTTGTAATATTTGCTGTAATTTTTGTACTAGCAGTCTCTGTCTATTTCTCGATATACATGTTAATGAAGCAACTCTAAAATACTTAAAAATGCCTGTTTAACTATAACCACATATTGAAGAGCGTGATTTCTTTTTATTATTTTCATAATGTCTCAAGACGATAAATTTAAGTAAAATAAATTTATAGAAGAAATCAGTTTCTATTAAACTTACCATCACCGACATAAACATTGAAGCAGATAATCATGTTTAAATTCATCACCTCGAAAAATAATAGTTATTGACAATTCAAATAAAGTGACAGATAACCTACATTTTGAAAGTTTAGGAGGTGAGGGAAATACTTGAGGGATAATGTGGAATAAATTATTTTATTGTATACCTTAGAACCCCCAAAACATTCGCACACTCAGTAAAATTTGCATATTTAGAGTGATTCTGTGTATGCTTCTGAGGATTTTTAGGATCTTGTCTTCCCGCGGGCAAATTTGCTAACATCCGCTCTTCAAATAGTTTTTTCAACACTGTATTCGGGAAAGTTCGTACACATTATCTCTCAAAAATGTTGCTTGCGTCCAAAAGAAGTCACGCTCTTCAATGCATACATTTAATATAAAAATATTGCATATCTTGTTATTCTAAAATCGGTGGCTTATTTTTATCTCTACATTTAAATATCTCAAGGTAGTTTAAGATCCGCCAAACACTGGAAAACAAGTCAGAAAAATAGCTTGAACCTTGTCCTTAGAGCCGAAAATAAAATTTATTTCAGATAATTTTAAAACGTATACTCCTTTTTAGGGTATAAGATTATTTCCAAACCATTTTGATAAAATGTATATATGTCAATATAATACGCGGCCTTGCGATTATTTTGACAGTTTAATCCCCCCCTTAAAGACAGGTGCAAAAATGTCTCTTAAATGACACATTAGATAACCTGTATTAGAATTTCAACCTCAAGGTCAAGGTTAAAGTTAACAAAGGTACATTTCAATGATGTAATAATGTGAAGATTAAAAATGGTCGCCGCGAATACTATATCTATTAAGTATAAGTCCTTTGATTTAAGTGTATAGAGCTTTCCAGAAAGGTTTCCCCTATTTCTTTTTTGGACTGGTCAAGTTGACAAGCGGAAATTCGAGAGGTTGAAATTGCCGCACAAATACTAAATTTCAAAGTAAGAATAACAGCTGAAAAATTCAAGATGGCGAAGTGGCAGGCTGTCAAAGTTGGGCGTTTTGTATACGGAATCGCCTATAATTCAACAAAAAATCATCAGAACGTTATAATACGTTACGTCAATCTTTTTCTTTTGAAAATACCTGTCTTAATTTTCAATAATCTTTAAGTAAATAATCCGTGAAGTATATATGATGTCTCAAATGGCTGTGATGCTGGAACTAACACTCTTATTTGGAGAAATGTGTATGAGTGTATTTATATTTGCAAATAAAACTGTTATATTATGAATCATAGCTTTGGGATACCAAATACTGTGGGTAGCTACGTCAAAGAATCTGTGATTTCTGATGAAGTGCTAAGACTCAGATTTTACTTTGAAAGCATTTCATTATTCAGTATTAAGTCTTAGTTTTTTAAACTATATTAATCTTCTATCATACTATTCTACTATATTTATTATTGGGGAACAAATACGACTTACAGTTATGAAGATCTAAAGAGTAAGGGTGAAACAACAACAAAAATATGCCCGCATATAAAGACTATGATATGGCATAGCTAGTTACTATAAAATTAAAATATAATATTTAGCATAATGTTTTTAAATAGTATGTACTTGTTATTAGTGAAGTATTTTTTCGTGCTTAGTTTAGGATAAATATTCATGAAATAATTGATTTTAAATAGCCAGTACCGTTTTTTATATAAACTTGACTTGAATTTTTGATGTTTTGATTAATGATGCTTGCAAACACGATTTTTTCTATACTGGCGTAAATTTAAAATCAGTTAAGTCAAAAACGTCAAGTATTATTACTGTTAGACTTAGTATCTTAGTAGTAATTTAAATTTAATAGTTACTTAGAAGTATATTTTCATCTAAATTTGATCTGGTTTATTTTTGGAAAAATTGGTTCTAACGATCTGATGATTTAATTATTTTAGCTGAACTGTTGATGTTCTGTTATATGATATTTTCAAAAATAAGTATTTTCCATAAATGAACCAGTTCAGAATTATAAAGTACTATAATTAATAGAATTAAGGGTTTAGTATTTTGATATCAATTTTATTTCAGTAGGTATATCATAGATTATCTCAATGTTGGTATGTATTCGGTATGTTATAATTTCGGAAGAATAGGATAAGATGTTTAAAACAAAGTTTGCGTATACCTGCAAGTGGTGAGACAAACACATGTGTTAACACTGTCAACAATTTTGTTCATCAATAAGTGTTTGAAGTTCTTATTGCAAATTTCCAGCTTTCAGTGGTAAACAAAGTTGGATGTTGGAAATTATCCTATTCATCAATCATACCAAACAGTATCAGCATTGAAAGGGTGTTTGCAGGGTTTCTTTCAGTATATCATATATGTTCATAGCTTTTTCTTTAAAATCTAATAAAATGACTGTATAGTCTGACGTGTGTTTCATTTTTATTCCCTTTTGTCTATTTGTCAACAGACTTTTTTGAAATCATGGCGCATCCAACATGTGTCGAGTAACAGCTATTCCTTAAACAATAAAATAGAAATGAGTGAGGGCATTTTATAACAATAGATTAACAGGAATTCGTAAGCCGATTGCTCTTGTCGCCATTTTCGAGAAAAGAATGATTATTGATAATACATTATTATTATGGCTATACACCGGGAAGGTATGCAAGCATGCATCGTCAATAAATATTTATAGCAAGTGTCCGTTAAGATTAGAAATATATATTCGAGTCTAAATAACACATGATTCATAATTACCAAACAGATGAACAATGCGCTTATTCCGATAATTTTGCACGCCAAATGCTTTTCACATAAATTCTTTTGCTTCTCATTGATGATAGATTTGAAATATTATTTCTCACTTTTAGCATCCTAAATGCTTGCTTTTTTACACCGACGCAGCCATGCAGGAAGAAGCCTAATTGGCACGGCGCCGCTTTGAAAAAAAAATAAAAATAACAAAATAATGATTAACGTATTCGATCTGAAGATATCCGATCGTATATATATATATATATATATATATTTCGGCGTCCAAAGCATTATCCGAAATGAGATTAGATTCCCTAGCGTAAATTTGTCACATCTATGAATCTCTCCTTCTCAATAATTGAAAATTTACTTTAAAAAGGTTAGACTACAGGGTGGGAAACTTAAGCGTATGCGGAGGACAGCAGCTAAACCATTACAGTTAGAAAAAACGGTCCTATAAAACATTTGTCTGAAATTACGAGTTCTCCAACTCTAATAGCAACTGAAATTTTTGGCAGAAGAACCGTAATCAGCTGAAGATCCTACATTAGCATCACTTTTCATACGTGAATCAGGGCTAGGCAAATCAGTAGGTCAAACTGTAACGTCTGATAATACAATGCGCTTCAAAAAAAAAAGGGATTGAACAAAAGCTCCAAAACACGAAAAAGGTAATTGGTATGACCTAGACCTTAGACGTCGTTTGATATGATGAATTATTTGATAGCATCTAGGTCTAGGATCTAGGTGCATCAATAACAATCCTCCACTGCGACCCTCTGGTATATTGTGACTCACACCTATTTATATTTCCCCCATTAGCTCCGACCTCCTGAGGAAGTCGATCAACTTGTTTGGAGAAATATCCTTCAGGTCTTCTGATTGGAGTACTACGTCTCTAAGTATGTTGTACCTGATTCTGGCGATTGTAGGGCATCTGCACAATACATGCTTGACCGTTTCATCTCCCTCCATGTACAGTCTGCAATGACCAGTGTACAGTCCTATTAGAGCATTGATGCTATTCCTCTTCAGCTGTACCAAAGAGTCTGTGTCCTTCTTTGTCAAGATGGGTTAACCCTGCTAATCCCTCCCAGTATTAATGGATCCTTCTGTCCATCTCTGCAGAGATTATTTGTTTAGCCGTATTGTATGCGATCCCAATCGCTGGCTCAGGCCCTATGAAGGGTGTGCTAGCCACACTCTTTGCCATAGTGTCAGCTGTGTCATTTGTCTTGGTATCCATATGAGACGGACTTCATTTCCCTCCCCTATGCCACCGGGAACTTCTTTGCAATTCCACACTAGTTTCGATGTCGAGTAGGTGGATTCAAGTGCTTTAAGTGCGGCTTGACTATCTGAAAAAATAATAGTTCTGTGCCTCAGTTGTGGTTCTGCGATGATTCTGGCACCGAGTTCTATAGCATATAGCTCTGCCTCGAAAATCGATGTCCAGGTTCCTAGGTTAATAGATTTTTTAATCTTTAGCTTTGGCACGAAGATACCAGCTCCAACAACTACCTCGGCCTTGGAGCCATCTGTGTATGCACAGATATCTTTCCTTATCAGGTTAACTTGCTGTTCCCACTCATTCCTGTGTGGAATTGTCACTGTCACATAAAGATAGCATGCGGACCTATTAATTTGTCAATTTATGCCCGCCTGACTGCATATATGAAAACTATATAGGATATAGAATATATCTGCTTTCAAAAATGGTGGATGCTACTCAAATTTAAGAAGTTGACTTCTAAATGACATTTTATATCGGGATTTATTAATAATTTTCTTTTTTAATTTACTGAAACTTTTCTAGAAACACCTAGTTAAAGTCACAACTATGAATATTGTGACATTTGCTCCTTGAGAATATTATTATTCAAACTAAGCCGTTACAAAAATGTGTAGTCACATTTTCACACTATTTCGTAAAGCAGTGCAATTTAAGGGTTCGGTGCAAAAACCGGTCAATTCAATGTTTTGTTATTAGTTCAAAATCGATAGAGGCTTTCCAATATTGTTAGTTGTAGGAATTTTCTATCGAAAAAAATACCAATTTAGTAATGGTATTGGATCATAATTTAATACCAAACTGATAACAAAATATTTTTTTGGTTGATTCTTGCACCAAACGATGTGCAAACATTTGTCCTATACGAGGGGAACCCAAAAAAACCGGAATTATTTTTTAAAAGCTATTTATTTTCAACTTTTTTACAAAGTAACCTTAATACTGGCCACTACAACTAATACACTTGCCCCACCGGTGCTTCCACTGCTCAACACATTTTTTGAAGCCTTTCTTAGAAATGTCAGACAGCTACTCCCTAGTTTTTTTCTAGATGAAAACGTTGACTGCTTTCATGAACATAAGTATGATTCAACAGCTTTTTCTCGTAGTGATGAGAATTTGATGAAACACAAGTCCCTTTTGGGATAAATCGGGTTTGCGAAACAAATGCCTATCTGATAATTTCAAGGCCTCCCTAGGAAATTCTGCTTCTTTGAAATAACTAAGGTATGGCAATGTCAACGTATGACTTATTATACATTTTTGGAATCATAATTAAAAATTCTATTCATCTGTGAAAATATCCAATATGGTGTCTATAATAAAAGATAAAATTATTGCTGGATTACAAGGATGAAATGTTATACTGAAGCTCTAAGTAGAGGAGAAAAAGTGGCAACGTTAATGTGTAATTTATTTTGAAATAAAGTCATAAAAAATTCGGGTTCTTTCGTCTCTCTCCGGGAGTACTTTGAATTTCGAAACTTTCTAGGCGGCATTTAGTTCATTACCTAAATCAGCCACTTTGCTTCCATTTAAGCGAGTTCGTATTTCTTCAAAAACAAACACGGTTAAATACGTCTGTCTCCAGGACGACTGTACCAATACCGCACTGATGAGTTGCTAATGAGCACGAAACAGCGCTTTCTGTGTTTGGTCATTGTTGTAGAGACAGGAAGCAAACGTACATTTCAACCTCTTCCTTCGTGACGTAACAAAATTACTCTATACACTGTCAATGTCTTGAGATTATGTGACAGCTCTATACTTCGACAGGTCTCTGTGACTCACTAAGGCTATTTGATAGCCCACTCCATCCGTGTGATATATCCTAAAACACACCTTTGGTCTCTACTCCGGTAACAATGATTTTCTAATAGCACTTCGATAGTAATAAGCTTAGAGTTAGGCAAAAATACTCGCTATATCCAAAAAGGCTTGATATAAATTGAGACAAAAACGCTTTCATACATGCCCAAAAAGAAAGCAGACTCATAAGTTCGAAATTCGACTTTAAAATCGAAAAGTTCCCGTTCTATAATTTTATTCGCTGCTGTACGTGCATTCTGACCGTTGTTATTATTATATGATAAGTACGACCATCGGGTGGGGTGACGAATAGTATAAAATAGGTACCACCGACATCCAGAAGTTCATTTTCTGTCCGAGCTTGGTTCAAAAATTTTCAGTTCAGTGTACCGGTCAACTTCGCTGGCTGATAAAGGTAAAAGTCTTTTATTTTCGATTCGATATTGACTATCTGTTGTAATGGTATTTTTTTAAGAGTATTAGTATTACTGTGCAGTTTTGCGTTTTATTTTGCACGCTCAATCTAAAAATACTTGAGAAGCCCTGGATTTAATGTTTCTACACCATATGTCTCGATTTAATCGAAATGCCACATTATATCAAGAAGGAATAAATGGTAACTTACTTATTTTCAGTAGTTTTTGAATGTTGGTATTCATAATACTGCCCTTCAGGAGCTAGCCTGATTTTTTCCACTTTTTAGCACAAGTTTAGCATTCTGAAAGACACATTCACCATTTTGTCCTTGTTATAGTCAATTCTGTGATAATTTTTAATTGTAAAAAAGTATGAAAAATAAAATAATAAGAAATGTCTAGTAGCTCTGATGCATTCATACGAAATATTTTCAATTTGTATAAAAATACAATTTCTGAACCTCTTAAAATGGATTTTGAAGCCTGTTGAATATAAGAAATGAGATTTTAAAAAATCATGTTCAAAAATCTTTATTGATATTGATCACGGCGTAGGAAGGAAAAATGGCATGAATTTCCATTTTATGTTTTTTAAGTTTCTTGTAACCCTTCGTCTTAGTTACCAAGTTCCTTTTTGGGATAGTGACATTTTTAATATAATCAAACTTAGTTTTCTGACATTTTCAAACTTAGGATGCAGTAACAAAGTATGCGGGAAAAACTTATCAAAAACGCTTATTTTCAATGTTTCTTTACATGTCATCCCAGCATCAAAAAATTAAGATTGTCAGAATATGTATGTGTAATTCATTCAAAAAATACTTTTAGCCTGAGGTCTCTTATACCATAAAATCTTTAACATATGTTAAGGAATGCAAGTTTGGTAAGAGTCTTACCACTTTGGACTTTCGAATATGGTGACAATCCATGCTAAAATCTCTATATTGATACTTTTTTGAGGTTAACACATGCAATTATCTTCATGATTCAAAATACACATACAGATTTTTCAAAATTTGTAAGATTATCGATGACGGTCAAACATGTACCGCCAAAGGCTTTGGACCAGCTGTATGTAGCGCAAAATGAATTTTTTATAACTCTTTAACTTCAAAAATTTTCAATCATAAATTTTTTTAAAATTTAGACGTGCCCTATGACGTAACTGTAATCACAGAAGGCCCAGACCTATTAAGTTCAATATAGAAAAAAGTGTGAAATGATTAATTCTCGAGATAAATGTTTAAAAAAAATATCGTTTCTTCGTCATAAGTTTTTTGAGACTACAGCTATTTTTACTAAATTTGATTCACATCTTTATTATGGGAAAAAAACTGTTTATTTCGACGGGATCTATCACATTGTCAATTTTGTAAAGTTCTGAGCATTTTGATTTTGGGTCCCCACAACCCACATTCATGCAGCAATTTGCCCTATTTTAACAAAAGTGCCTTTTTTGCTTAAACATATCGAGGAAATTGTTTATTTTATTAAAAAATTAAAAAACTACACTGGGAAGCAAGTTGTGGCCATTTAAAACAATCCGAAGTGCAGTGTGAAGCGCTCTCGAACAATGCTAAACAACAATGAAAAAATGTCTATATTCGGATTTCGCATCCCAAAAACCCCCCGGTACCAATTTTTGAAGGAATGTTCATGGATTAAAAAAAATAATTTTTATTTTCTAACTTTGCCACCCTGTATCTCGGAATCGGAGCAATTTTGGACTAAAGTAAGTTACGTCAAGTCGGCTTATTTAGAACTCAGTAATATGTGCAAAAATTTTGTAAAGAGCTTTTAGGGACGCTCTGTGTATAGTGCAGCCAACTTCAATTTTTGCCATTTGACAATTTTTGATACAATTTTTTAACGAGAATTTCTTTAGCTTTCTAATGAGGCATGGCTCATAAAAATCGGTTTACCAGTAACAACATTGGAAATCTTGATACTTGAAATGGTGCTTTCTGAACCACTGTGCGGCGCAAGATTTCAAGTGTTATGACTGCGAATTTGCTGCGATTATTGTTATTCAAGTAGGCAATGCTTCTTGGCTCATTCAGAAGCAGATATTCAGAAGCTGTTTGAAGGATTATCCTCCGACGCAGAGAGTTTCAAGTCATTTACAAGGGTTTAGCTGCTTCGAAACTGACACTCCATTTTTAAATATTTTTGAATGGAACTGATACAGCAGGTTCAGAAGACAATTGCCCAGGGTGGTAACGGAGCATTTTTTGAAATTTAGTTTTTTTGCACAAGATTTATGGTGGATTAAAATGCCTACTCTTTTTGTTGAACTTTGTGATTTTTTTAAAGAGAGCCTAGTGGAAAAAATGAAAAAGTGGCTCGATTGCACCCTGTACGGTTTTGTTCTCAGCACGCTGTAAAAATTTCATTCGAAAATATTCAAAGATGAAGCGTCAGTTTCGAAGCGCGCAGTTGTGATTTTAAGTCTTATATGACATCACGAAAAACTGTATCATTTCCGTTTAACGGTCTGCTAATCCTTTGCCCGTCCATGACTTGGAAATTTCCACTATGCCAAAGCTTTGAGGTTTCAGTCCTGTGACTGCAGCGCTATAGGCAAAAAACGAAAAAAATAACAAAAGTTGAAACTCCGATTTTGACTTTCAGGGGTTTCTAATCGTTGTCATAAAAAAAATGTAGTACTTAAAAAGTGGGTGTTAGGGGAAGCTGATATTTAATGTTGCATCTTTGATATGTGGAACACGGTCTATTATTAAGTAGTAATTACAGGAAATTTAAGTGACGGAAATCCGACGAATAATGTGCGTTATAGGTTTGAATACCTGTAGATTCGGATATAGATAATGGGGATTCTTAGGACTAGAATAGTTAAAAAAACTAAAAAAACAAGCTTTTATAGCTAACCGAATTAAAAATTAGGAAATAACTTTTAATTACAAAGAGTTTATATCACAGTACTAGATGGTCGAACAATCAATCATAATTAATGACCTCAAAATAAAATTATAATAACATTTAAGTTATTAACAGAATAATTCAATTGACATATTAAAAGTTACAATCATTCTATTGCCATCTATCTATGAGAGGAGAATTATGAAAACTGTAGTAAAATGCACCCCAAGCTATTTAGCCTGATTTGAATTATTCTGTTAATAACTTAAATTTTATTATAATTTCTTTTTGAGGTCAGTAATTGTGACCAATTGTTCGACCATCCACTACTATAATATAAACCCTTTGTTTAATTAAGAATTGTTTACTACTTCTTAGTTCGGTTAGCTATAAAAGCGTGCTTTTTCAGTTTTTCTAAACTATTTCAAACACGTTTTTATTATAATGCTCACAAAGCTAATTTTGACAGTTTGTAACTAATTAACAATTTATTTGTTTCCAAGGATGATGCGAATTAAGCCGTTCCATAAAAAACGTGCTAATAACCAAAAAATAGCCGTAAAAACCCTTATATGTATACAGGGCGATGCATTTGAAATTTTTGAGAAAAACTACAATTTGCGTTTTTGACAACCCTGTATGAGCAAAAATCAAAATTGCAAAAATTAACAAATGAGATAAAAGCTGAGGTGTGTAAGTTTTTTTTGATATAAAATTCAGCACTCCAAATTTCAAAATGACGGACTGAGGGGTTGCCGAAGTGGGAGGTTTTTCTAGACCAAACACCTTATATCTCAGTAGCTAATTACCAAAACCGCATAATATGTTATATCAATTTTCTTCTTTTGAATTGGTTTATCCAAATATGCAATAAAATTTGAGAAATTCTATTGGAAAAATCAAAACTTTGATATGTAGATCGAAATTGGGACACCCTGTACAATGACCAATATTTTAGAAATGTGCCCTCAAATGTCATGTATAATATGCCATATATAGATTGTCCCAAAATGTATTTGTTTATGAGTAATATTCCGTCCACACATGGATGGGCCACCTGTATATATGTATATATATATATATATATATATATATATATATCGTATATATATATATATATATATATATATATATATATATATCGTATATATATATATATATATAGGGTGTCCCGAAAAAAGTGTGCAACATTCTACCGGTTTCTAGAGCTTAAAATAGGAAGAAAAGTTTATATGAACATAGGTCGACAAACGTCCCCTAAGGGCGCTACGGTCTTTTAAAGGGGCTCCCCTGAAGATGGTTTTTCCTTAATATTTCCGAAACGTGTTGAGATAAAGACATAAAATTTGGTATTCTCACCTAGTTTTTTATGCTGAATTTAAAAATATTAACATATACATTAACAATAAATTTTAGACAGCTTTGTTTGGAAGCGTACTATGTAACAGGGACGGACAGGTTATTTTAGCCCCAAAATTTTTGTGATTTTATATTAAAAATTCAATTTTAGAATTTGCAAATATAGGGTTTTCTAAATAAAAAGGTACTCTTATTGAATATCGATAAATTGTGCCATTTTTGAATAAAATCAAACAAAAAAATTTGCCACATGATAGGAAATGTACTGCGAATTTAAATGAATTGTTGAATAATTAGCCATGAGAACGAAAAAACTAATTTAATGATAGGTAAATATTACATGAATACATATTTCTATTGCAACATAGCTAACATTTAGGCAAAAACAAAAGAAATAAATGTTTTCTACGAAGGAAATTGAAATTTGTTTAAAAAAGAAGACATACAGTTGGATATACTTAAAACTAGCTTTACAATAAGTGTTCAAAGAAATTCCCATTTTGTTCGACGAACTAACGATTGTGTAGCCCGAAAAGTGGAAAACCGTTTTCTTCTTATTTCATTTGCAGCCTGATGGGTTGTTTGAAGTAAATCTTCTTGAGTATTTACTTCAGTCGAGTGAACTAGGACTTTTAATGACCCCTAAAAATAGAAATCCAATGATTTAGGTCAGGTGAACGTGGCGGCCACGCTATAGGACCTCCTCGGCCTAACCACCTGTCTGGAAAATTGACATTCAACCAATTTCGAACGTTGCGTCCAAAATGTGCAGGGGCGCCATCATGTTGAAAAAACATATTTTCTTGAAACTGCTGGTGCACATCCAATGGTACTATATCCATGAGCTCATTCTGAAGAAAATTCAGCTACACCTCTGAATTAAGACGATTGGGATACTTCCCCATTACTTGATCCCCAATTACTCCTGCCCATAAGTTCAACGAAAATCTATGTTGGCAATTTGTACGGCGATCAACTTTTGGATTTTCAACTGACCAGTGATGCATGTTACAGAAAATAAAAGCACCATTCCTAGTAAATATTGACTCATCCGATCATAATATTCTAGGAATAGTGTTTTCATTTGCTAATATCCACTGGCAAAACTCGGTTCGTGGTAAAAAATCTGCCTCCGTTACGTGCTGCACCCGTTTAAAATGATAAGGATGTAAACCTTGCATTCTTGTCATTCTTCCTATCTAAAATTATTATATTTAGGATAACTATCAAATAGGTATTCATAAATTTTTCTTACTATTTGCGGATTATTTTCAAACATATTTAAAGCAATATCCATTTCGATGATTTCCCAGTGGCCTTCCTGAGTCCTGCATGCGCTGAAAACTTCCATGGTTTGACAAATTCCGGTGAATATCAATAGACATTCGACGTCCAGGTACTATGGGAAATCTTCTTTGATATTCTCTTACGGCTGCCAATGAACTGCCATTGCACAACCCGTACACAAAATGCATGTCAGTCAGTTCTATGTCTGTAAATCTTGGCATTTTAAATCGATTTAATAAAAATTTTGATTTTAATCTAGTAATCTTACACTGCTAACAATGTCAGCTTAACGTCAAAATAAGTCATAACAAATCAAAACAACTTTTGTGTGCAGTCATGGCTAACTATATATGTATAATCAACAATTCTTTTAAATTCACAGTACAAATTTTTTAGTTTGATATTATTCAAAAATTGTGGGGGCTAAAATAACCTGAGTTCGTCCGTGTTACATACGCTTCCAAACAAAGCTGTCTAAAATTGTTAATATTTTTAAATCCAGAATAAAAAACTAGGCTAGAATACCAAATTTTATGTCTTTACCTCAACACGTTTCGGAAATATTAATGAAAAACCATCTTCAGGGGAGCCCCTTTAAAAGACCGTAGCGCCCTTAGGGGACGTTTGTCGACCTATGTTTATATAAACTTTTCTTCCTATTTTAAGCTCTAGAAACCGCTGGTAGAATATTGAACACTTTTTTCGCGACACCCTATATATATATATATATTCATACATACATACAAGCATACATACATACATGCATAGATACATACATGCATACATATAGGTCAAGCTGATAAAAGCGTGTTAAAATAATAAAAAAAGTATATCAAAATATGCCTCTTATAAGGATTGAACTCACGACCACTTGTTTACAAGTCCAGTGCTTTACCACTTGGGCTACAGATGCTTCTGATTTCAATGTTCGTAAACCGGCATTTAAAGTCTTTTTTTTTAATAGCAATCTGCTTTTTGAGGAAATTTTCTTATAAGGATAATGGAAAACTGTTATCAAATTATAGCATTGTCATGGGTCCTTGATACGTGTGCGAAGTTTCAAACTAATCAAACTTCTGGATATTGGGGCAAATTATGCTCAAAGATTCCGTTACATGCATACATACAGGCCTAATCCTGTTAACAAAAACAAAATGTAGTTCTCAAAAATTTGATAACAGAGCCGCTAAAAAATCGGTTAAAGTGAGTAGTTTAATCCTGTTGAAACTACAGGTTTGGATAGTTTTTGACAGCTCTCATTACAGCACCATTGGCGGATTCCGATGAATGGAAACTAGACTTCTCAAACTCTCAATCTAAACGTTCGATAATTCCATCCATCAATCTGCTCTACTAGATTCTAAAAAAAGTAAATTTTGGAAAACGTTATGAACAATTCAAACCACATTATCTATTTTGTTTTACCTTGTATAATTAGCAGGATTTGAAGACTACATACGATGGGAATTTCCTAGACCGTGGTATTCTAAGCTATACCGATGCGTCAGTTAAATCTACTTGACATTTTTGCAGAGTGAACATGAGGGGCCCAATAAAGAAATCTCGGAGGAAGGTGGTAAATTTAGAAGACGTAATCAGGACGAAGCCCTTTCCACATATCCCCACGGTATCATCCTTATATACAGGTATTCCAGATGATCCATCTCCTCCTGAAGAGCCTGATGTACTTCCTACAGTGCCCGAAGTTCCTGAGGAGCCTGAAGATGATGAGGAGGACGAGGAGGACGAGGACGAGGACGAGGACGAGGAAGACCCTACCTGCTGTCAAACATTTCGCATGAGAAGGTAGGGGGTATAAAGCTCGAATACACGTTGATTCAGAATGCGAGATGTGGCTCACAAGAGTTCCAGTTTTGCTATAGTCAATCCTATACTATAGCTGTGACTATAGGTACAAAGTGTAAAGTTAGTAGTGGATCAACGGAAGTCAGGTGATAGACGGCCTACAAAACCTATCGAATGAACCCCTATATGGGTGGGCCGAAATTTTAGTAGTAGTAGTTCAGGAGATATTTGCAATTTTGTGAAATTTCGAAAAAAAAACGGGACTATGAACTTTCAGTCGCAATTACAACTAAATCATTAGGTTTAGGGCTGTGACTCTTTTCTGAGATGAGTTAAGTGGTTAGGTTTAGCAATGGTTATGTCACTTTTTAACAGAGCCTATTGGAAATAAACGCAAAAAAATATTAAATTCATTTTTTTTGTGCAACATTACTTCCATACCTCTATTGTGGAGTTCGGTAAAAAATTGAGTTTGTATTTCATTATTCATTTTATTGTAAAATATATTTAAATCCATGTAGAATAAACCCTGAAAATTTCAGGTTGCTACGATGAGTGTATCATGTCACATTCGTTGTTGTGATGCGATAAACGTAAGAAACGCAACAGAAAACTTACCACCTACAAGTACAGAACCTGTTGTGTTTCGTCGCTCTTCATGGCGATTTACCGACAAATGTGGAAGACAATTTGATTTAACTAACTTGTGAAGAACATGTTCGGAATGGCCTCCATTATTTTCTATATAAAAAAATGTCTAGTATTTGAAATGAATTTTTATTTTATACCTCATCAATTTTCTGGCGCAGTTGGTTGACACTTGTATATTCAGATGTATAGATTATCCCCTTATTAAACCTCCATATAAAAAATCTAGAGGATTTAAATCGGGTGACCTTGGAGGCCATCGTATGTTTCCAACTCTACCTATCCCACGCCCAGGAAAGGCTGTCTAAGTCACAAAAGATATACACTGAAGAAGGTTTAATTCCATGCTATTCAATGGCAACACGGTGACTTGTGTGGTTGTCAGCGGCCATTTTTTGAGGGTGCGACATGGTTGCCAGATTGTGCATTAATATCCCGCAACGTTGCCAGCTCTACATATAAATCTAAAATTATTATACCTTTATATATATGAATTTGGTGGGATATGGGAGATCTTATTACAGCATATATTATTAACATTTTGCGCTATCTTGAACAATATTTTTTTTTTGTATGTTAAAATAGCAATGTCAATAACATATGCTGTTATAAGATAACTCATATCTACTTACTAATCTGGAAAGGTTCGGAAGAAAAACGTATACTGCAAATACCTAAATATGTATATATTTGTTTTACGAATTTCATACATTTTTCTACAAACATATCAGTATTAACATTATTATGGTCCAAAATTGAATTGTGTTGATATGTCACTACAATTCCCATATTTCTTTTTGTTATTAGAACAATAATATTATTGTCCACGGGTACCCACAGGAATTTTTCTCAGTGGTGCTGATCATCATCAAGAGATAACTGTTACCACGATTCCCCTGACACCGCCCTGTGGGCACCCAAATATAACTATAAAATTTCGGACCACACATATAGGGGTTCAGTCGATATGTTTTAAGGTCCTCGATCACCTGAATTCGTTAATCCACTACTAACTATACACCCGGTATGTATGTAGGCGGCAAGGCTTTGGTATCTCGCATTTCGAATCCTGCATTCTGGATTATTGATGAATTTAATCATGTTCGACCCTCAGCCTATGTGAAATAGCTCTTGATTTTATCCAATTTGAGGGCCCGTTAAAGCGTTGCCGCAAACTGAGAAAACCCATCTAGTCTTGGAAGTACTCGACATGAATGTTGATAAATTTTTACTTTTTGTCCCACATGAACGTATTCAGGAAAGGCAAGGGGGACAGCCGCCCCCCTTTCAGGCCTCAGAAAGTAAAATGAAAAGACTATTTTTTACATGATAGAAAAATTGTCTCTGTAGTCTTAACGTCAATGTATGCTGAATGACATAGAATTTGGTTTCGTAGAGCCTTCAATGTTTGTGAAGGGTGAGGTGAATTTTGCGACCTTGTTTTCACCATGTCCCATACATGTTCGATGGGGGAAAGGTCTGGAGATCGAGGAGGCCACTGGAGCAGATTTACTCAGGACGAAGTTTCTATCAAAATCCAATAAATAATTCTGGGTGTTGCATTTTATATGTCAGTTAGTATACAGGGTGTTCGAAAAATAGACATATTTTAGAGGGTGATTCCTTTGTTAAAAAATATGAAAAAAGGTTTATAGAAGCATGGGTTCTCAAGATACAGGGGGTAAATTTAAATTTTTGTTTCTTTTTTTTATTAATATCTTCTAGATTTTGTTGAAATTTGGCAATATTATTTGTTATATATTATAATATTATTAGGTCCAGTGGCGTCCCGAGGTCACCTTAGCAAATATTATTGGTGAAAAAATGTACGTACTGCCTTTCTTGCAAATACATGTTTTTTAACTTGTTGTTAGATTAAGCATATAAAAATATAACTTCTTTGCCGCTTGTATTTTTTCGTATCTCACTTCGTTTTCGAGAAAAAAAAAATTAAAATCGTTTAATTGCATGTCACTATACAAAATTGATTTGTTAATTTTTGCAAAAAAAATGATTTCTGTAATTTTATTTGCGAAATTTCTCTAAAAAGTCGAATAAAAATTATCACCCAGTACCTTGGAAACTCATGCATGCATTTCCGGACCCATGTTTATAGAAACTTTTTTCGATATTTTCACCCTCTAAAATATCTCCGTCTATTTTTCGAACACCCTGTATATTAGATACTAAGGTATTTGGGACTAGTTATTTGACTTATTCAGAGAGTCTTCGAAACATTGTTTTCAGATAGCATATCTTCAACTCTATGTATCTTAATGTTATAATGCAAAAAATTTTTATAACCGAGCTAGTCAGGAAAATAAATATACGTGGGATTCTCAAATTGTCTCAAAGCAAAGTCCGTCCGACGGTAGAAATGGAATCTACCTCAAAAGTGTGGTAACTTTATTACAATCGTCTTAAAATAAACTTTGTTTTAAATGAAACTAGTATGGTTATTTGTATTCATATTTTGAATAATTTGAATTTGGAAAAACCGATTGAGAAACATCGATGAAATATCCACAGAAATCGCTTCCGCTCTGATTTTCAAAATATGGGGCAATATGTTTTAATATTCGTAACAACAAATTAATAAAAAATCGTCGGACGTTGTTTACTGGATAATATCGCTTACGCATATTGGTAGATTTGCATTTGAAATATGAAAAATGGGATCGCAAATTTTGTTTTTTCATACCGCCACAAAATCAAAAAGACACTAAATGGAAGATTCATATTTATGTTTCACTGGCTGTTAAATGAAACCATATACGTCGAAGGAAAATCTGGTTGTCGTTTCGGTGGTGGTCTTTTTCACCGAGGTGGGCGAAATGCAGTAAGATTTTTCTTTCCACATGGAACTTGGGAAGAAATCTGCGAGACATCCGCAAGATCAGTTTTAGAAGCTGCATCAATAAATCTCAAGCATGAGGGGATCTAGAGTTTTTGATCTGATGACCAGTTTGTGACGGCGTTTTCACGTGCTCGTGCCCCTGATGTGTAACATCTGAAACTTATCCTGATTTTCATGCAGATAATCACTTTTGTCTAGCCGAATCCAGCCGCATATTTTTCCACCGAAGCCTTAGCGCAGGGCACCGCTACTAGACTATTCCACAATCTCGATACCCTAGGGACAAAGGAGCGATCGTATCGGCCAGTTCTGGATGTACGAACTTCGACACGGTTAGGACGGGACGCCAAAGTTAGGCGGGTCTGTCTGGCAGGCACATAGCGCGGCGGCATCATGGAAGAGAGCTCTGAGGTGTAAAGCCCGTTGTTGTAGAGGTAGAAAAGAGCTATATCGCCGACGGCCCGCCGGTGCGAAATATACTAACTGACATATAAATCCGAACACCCAGTTTAAATGGTTTTATTTTAATAAAAATTGGTGAATGTATTTATCTTACTGTAAAGTGAAAAAATTTTCAGCCTTATCAGTTGGATATTGCGGTTTTTATACTGTTTTTTTTTAATTCACTAACGCTCTAAAAATGAATATTTCAGCCGCAGTAAAGAATCAACGTTGGCGGATTTTGGTTCTTGACATCCTTTACGATCGGTTACGATGCCTAGAGTACGGAGACCTGTACGATTTCCTCAACTTAGTGAGTTTGATAGGGGCCGTATAGTGGGACTTCGGGAAGCTGGACTTTCTTTTCGGGCAATTGCAGTTAGAGTGCAAAGAAGTGTAGACACTGTGGTTAGGTGTTGTCAGGCAGGGCTTCGAGAAGGCCGTACGCAAAGAGCAAGGGGCACTGGACGCCGCCGTAGAACAACAGACCGTGAAGATCGCCGCCTAAGATTATTGGCCTTAAGGGACCGTTTCTCCACTACCAGGTCCATTGCAAATGAATGGTTTGCAGAACACGGAAGACCTATTGGCATGCGAAGTGTTTACCGACGAATGAGAAGTTTTGGCTTGTTTTCATACCGGCCACACTGGGTCCTCCCTTTAACTCGAGAACACCGACGTAATCGCCTTGAGTGGTGCAGACAACGGTCACTCTGGGATCAGGAATGGAACAGTATTGTCTTTAGTGACGAGTCTCGATTTTGTTTAGGCATGCACGATGGTCGTGCCAGGGTTAGAAGGCGACGTGGTGAAAGGAGGAATCCACAGTTTTTTGTTGAAAGACATGTTCATCACACTGTTGGAGTTATGGTTTGGGGTGCTATAGCTTATGGTTCCAGGTCACCTTTAATCTTCATCAGAGGTAACATGACTGCGCAGCGTTATATCCACGAAGTTCTAGAACCCCATCGTTTACCCTATCTTGACACCCTGGCAGATCCAACTTTCCAACAAGGTAATGCCCGACCACATGTTGCAAGAGTCATAATAGACTTCTTTCAAAATAATGATGTCACATTGTTACCATGGCCACCAAGATTTCCCGACTTATCCCCAATTGAGCACGTGTGGGATATGATGGGTAGGAGATTGCTCAATTTGCAACGTCCTCCTCAGACTCTAGAAGCACTTCGAGAGGAGTTGGTGGTTGCCTGGAATGAGATACCACAGGAGGACATTGACCACCTGATCAGAAGCATGCCTAGGCGTGTTGGAGAATGCGTAGCACATCAGGGTGCATCCACACATTATTAAAAGTCAAAGGGCTTTAAAGCAGTGCAATCATTTTGAAATTTTTATCATTTACTTATTATGCTTCATTAAGTACTTATACAAAATTTTATTAAAATAAAACCATTTAAACTGGGTGTTCGGATTTATATGTCACTTAGTATAGTACGAGACTGTCTGTTAGAGAAGAGTCATCGATCAGTCGGACCGCCCTCCTCTGGACAGCATCGAGCATGGATAATGTAGTCGGGGCGGCAGCACCCCAAACGTGTGAGCAATACTCGAGACTAGGCCTTATCTGGGCCTGGTATAGAGTGAGAAGGTCATGCGGAGAAAAGTATTTCTTAGCCCTAAACAAATAGCATAGCTTTTTCCCAGCACCTGCAGCTATTGAGGAGATGTACTCGTGCCAGATCAGGCCCTCGGTGACCTGGACTCCGACCAGCCGAAATGAATTGCTTTTTGGCAGAACTCGGCCATCCATCAAAACTGGATGAGCGCTAGGACGCTTTTTGTTCGTCAAAGTAGAGTACTGTGTTTTTTAAACATTGAACTGTATAAGATTGGTACTTCCCCAAGCAGTGATAGCCTCCAGGTCTCTTGTCAGAGAGGAAGTCGTCGCTAGTCTTCTTTTTTCCAGCTCAGCGGCAGAGATCGGCTTGTCACTCTGAATTCCTGCATGTAGAGTCCTGTCATCAGCGAAGCTATGGACTGGGTTGATCGTGCAGGAAAGGAGGTTGTTTGTCAAGAGCAGCGATATGAGCCTTAACATAAGACTGGATGAGTTTACTCCACAATTGCGTGACGTAAGCTAGGAGGTCCCCTGTGGATCGGTGGTGCTGGAAACCATACTGCCTGTCGCTAATCAACCTGTGACGTTTGAGGTAGTCCAGAAGCTCGCGATTTATGCACCTCTCCTTCACCTTACTTATAACAGAAAGCAGAGCTATAGGCCTGTAGTTGAAGGGTCCTTAGATCCTTTTTTGGGATGGGTTGGACATGAGCAAATTTCCAGTTTTCGGGAAGGTGCCGGATTCATAAGATGCACACGTCTTCAGTACAATGGCAGGAATCAAGTCCGGACCAGAAGCTTTATGCCTGAATGTTACCTCCCGCATAGTGTAGGGAACCCTTTGAATTGACGGCACTTGGGCATTGGGGGGACGTCCATGGTGAAGTTGGCAGCAAAGATCTTCGCTATTACTGCCGCCTTGGCCTTTGAGTCAAATACAATAGTTCCATCCTGACACGTAAGTGGTGGCAGGCTACTGTGTGAGAAGTTCTTTTCAATCTGCTTGGCTAGCGCGTCCAGAAAGACTGACTGCCATTGCGCTGCGACATTACCCTGTGCCTAGCTTTTATATCGTGCTGGTTTTTGGCATTGCGCACTGCTTCTTTATATTTGTTTCTGGACTCAACGTCGGCTTGTCTCTACAATGGGGTTTTGTAAGAAGGTTCTGTGTGCCTTGATCTTCTGCTGGCGAGCAGTGTCACACGATTTGTTAAACCAGCCAGTGGACCCTGGTTGAGACACTTTCACTGTGTGAGAGATGTATTCCTCCATTCCGACATGGATAATTTCGGTTATCGAAGAACAGACGCATCCGCGTCAGTGAAACAGACATCGTTTCAAGGAAAGCTAGAGAAGAAGTCTCTGAGCCCCTCCCAGTCGGCATGTCCGTAATGCCAAGTTTTACGGCCTGTACGAGTTTCTGCCGCCACAGCGGGTTCTGACCGAAACCTAAACATCACAACACCATGGTCTGAGTTACCCAGGGGGAACAGGACAAGGACAGCAGTGTTGTTGGGGACAGGATGCGTGGTCAGAAAGAGATCCAGCAGGCTACTGGCATAGGGCTCGTCACCAGCTGGATCAGCCCTTTAGTAAGTGCGAACGCTTCGACTGCACGACCTGCTGCATCGATATTGTCTGAGCCCAACCAAAGCTCATTATGGGCTTTAAAATCACCGAGAAGAGCTACTTCTGAATCGGGATGATTGATGTTCAGGAAGTCGATATGGACGGCCAGGTATTCGAGTAGGTCATCCCAGTTATGGTCCGAGGGAAAGCGATAAAGGCAGCGGATAAATTTGGGTGATGTTTTGGAGTTGAGGCGAAGCCACAGAATGTAATTCCGGTCTGACTCCAAAGAAACATCTCTGGATCCGTAAAGGCTGCTGCGGACAAAAGCCACAACTCTCGCTTTCTTTCTCGTAGTTTGGGAAGTTAAGACGGTTAATCGGTGCAGACTCTGAGATTTTTGTCTCCGCCAAGAAAAGCACGGCGGGACGATGAATTGCAGGTAGTGATGAACAGCATCAATGTTGCTGTTAATCCCGCAGATGTTCGAAAAACAAATTTTATCCTCGATGTTGTTCCCTCGAGCCCACCCTCCACCTGGACATTCGTGCCAGATCAAGTTCTCGGTGATCTCAACTCCGACCAGCCGAAATGAGCGGCTCCTTTGTAGAACTCGGCCATTCATCGAAACAGGATGTGCGCTAGGACGCATCTTGTTAGTCATTGTATAATACTGAGGTTTGATTCGGCCAGACAAACATGGAGGATTAAGCTAGACTTATCAAAACGATCGCGTGATTGGCAGTTGTTCCAATTTACCCTAAGATGGGGAGGACGGACGTCACTCAATTATTATTGTACACAGTTTTATTAAACTTTTCTAGCAAGCAGGCATGTTGTACCTGCGAGAAGGAGCGAAGACTATGGAAGTTACTGAAATCTCAGGTTGCAGTACTTGCTGTAATTTTCATCTTGTTTCTGATAGGGTACTTATTGCGGCGGTACGTCGGCTCCTAGGTAAGTTATTTCTGCTATTTCTTGACGGCTTAGCAACTATCTTCCGATCTACGAGGGTCATTTTAAGAGTAAGAACTGAATGCGCATCCTGCTACGTGACGTCGGTCCAACCTCGGACACCCTTGGCCACTCCTCTACTGCGCCGCCATTACGTTTCTTGTGTTTATTATCGATGTACTGTTTGCCTGTTTCTGCTGCGGCATTGATCTTACATAGAAGGATCGTTCGCTCATATTTCAAATTATTACCGGGATCGAAAGCTTCTCAATATGTTGTACACGTTTTGAAAAATCATAAAAAAAACTACAAAGCATCGGCAAGATAATGTATATTTTTAACACGCTTTTTTATTAGCTTGGCCTGCATGTATGTATGTAACGGATTCTTTGAGCATAATTTTCACCAATTTCCAGAAGTTTGATTAAGGCTTGATGACAATTTTACATTATCCTTATTAGAATCGCCAGGATTGATAAATTCTTTTATAGATCCTCTGTAAAGGAGTGAGAGATAGAGCTAGCGCGCGATCTGCGCATGCGTGCAGTTTCGGTCTTACTCTTTGTTGGTTCGGGCACTCGGCACAACACAGCGGAGGCAGACACTTTTTCAAGGTAGTGCATTCTTACCTTGTTCATTGCGAATGTTGCTATTAATCCTGAGTTGGGCTTCGACCGTCCACAAGATGCAAGGTTGTACTGTCGATCATGCAGTCATTTATCTAGGGTCGCGACTGTTCGCTGCTGAACAAGCTTATGTTGCACTTAGTGTGTGAGATCTTTAGACATTATTCGGATTTTATTTTATTTTATTTTTATACATAATTGCCCTACAGAACTATTCCAATTAGAGGACAATGTCATGGTATCCTTACTTATAATACATACATATAATGTATACATAATAATAATAATAATCTATATTCCATATTGTACAATGACATTACAAAAATTGTATAGCCACTACAAAATGAAATGTTGCGTCACTGTCACCATAACTATAGTAGTTTACCTGAGACCTTTTTTTTGTGTTACATGGTTATTTATCTTAAAGCAGTTACTATCTTATACTACTACAACTCCCATAGAACTCATCTATTGTATAAGGCTCTGACTGTACTAGAAATTGCTTAATAGTCTTTTTAAATTTATGTAAACAGTTTATGTTTTTAATTTCATTTGGTAGATTGTTAAAAAATTTTAAACACATGTAAATAGGGCTTTTTTCAGTGGAGGATAATCTGTGTATTGGATAAGTAACATTGACTGTTCGAGTATCATAAACAGTTTGCACCTCAAGCTCAAATAAATTTTTATTTTTGAAAAAAATATAAGACACTCATAGATGGCATACACAGTCATGATTTTTTCAGTTTTAAACACCCCCCTGCAAGTTTCATTGAAATTTAGTCCCTTTAGCAGACGTACTGCTCTTTTTTGAACAACAAAATTTTTTGAATAATCCTATTGCGTCCCCAAAAAATAATTCCATACTTTAGAACACTTTCAAAATTAGCATAGTACAATATTTTCATACTCGTATTATTTAGATATCTTGATATCACCCTAAAACCATAGCAAATGGAATTGAGCCTCTTCAGCAGTTCGAATACATGTGTTGTCCAATCTAAAAATTCATCAATATAGATGCCTAAGAATTTTACACTTTCACTCAACAGCAGTTGATGATCTTCTATATCGATATATTGTGGCTTAACGACTTTACTCTGCTTAGTTCTAAATAATGTTGCATCAGTTTTGGATTTATTCAGCACTAGTTTGTTCTCATAAAACCATGTATTCACACTTCTGAATAAGAGATTCCCATTAGCAGCTAGGTCCTCTACACTTGTCCCACCCAACACTAAATGTGTGTCATTAGCATAGCAGATAATTTTATCCTTGCTATGATCACCACCAGTAACAAAACAGAGATCGTTTAAAAAAACTACAAACAAAATGGGCCCAAGTATACTACCCTGTGCTATGCCGGTTGAAGTCAACTCAATGTTTGACTTGTAAGTTTGACCTCCTTTAACAATTTCAACCCTCTGTTGTCTATTATAGAGGTATGACTTGAACAATTCTAGTGCAGTTCCTCTTACACCATATCTTTGTAGCTTTAATAAAAATATGTCTCTGTTGATGCAATCATAAGCTTTGGACATGTCCAGGTAGAAACCAACCGCTAAGTTTCCCTCCTCTAATTGTTTAAGTACTGTTTGAACAAATTGAAAGATTGCAGTATCTGTTGATCGCCCATGTAGGTAAACATGCTGATGTGTATTAAATAAATTACAGTCATTCATGAATTCTAATAATCTCTTACTGATGCCTAACTCAAATAATTTTGAAAAACCTGTTAAAATATTGATTGGCCTATAATTTTCCAATTGCCCTGGATTACCTTTTTTAAAAATTGGTTTTGTAACAGCTATTTTGAAATTCTCTGGGAATGATCCTTGTCTAAAAGCATTATTAATAAGTAAGCACAAAACATGTTTTAAAACTGGAATGGAAAGTTTTACTATTGTTGTTGGAACATCATCTATACCACAGCTGAATTTATTTTTTATCCTCCTCGACAGTTCACACACTTCATCAACAGTCATTGGTCTTAAGTATAATGATTGGTTGTTTTCTTGTAAATTGCAGTCAAAAGGTACCTGTGTCACATCTTTCAGTAAAAGCGGAATTGCTGATAACAAATATTCATTATACTGCTGTGGTATCAGATTTGGATCTCCTTTGAAATGAATGTCTGTATGATTGTTTTGACCTGTGATTTCATGGCAAAACTGGCTTAAAAAGTTAGAGTTCTCGTATTTAACCACGGGATACAGAAATTTAACCTCTGGAGAGGTTCTAGTGCATCCACTCTGTCGTGCAAAAACTGATCAAGGAATGACAGGCCAGCAGTGGAACGTCTTAACCGTAGAGACTCTAGTTCAAAACGACGCAGCAGAACAAATTGAGAGACCCCCTTTTCTGGATAGGTGCCATCGATTTTATAAGCACAGTATTTAAGAAATTTTCTTTGTACATTTTCTAAGATAGTTATATAGGGTGGCGCATCGAAAACGTAACAGACGCATTTACTGGCAGCTCAGTTTTTTTTTGAAAAACGCTCAGACCCGTCGATTTTGTTTTCGAGGGGGACACAAGTTTGGAAAAAAATCATGTTAGCACGTGCAGCCCCCTAAGCGGGGGTGACACCACCCCCAAAACCTTAAATGGAAAGGGAGGTCGAGTGATACGTTATTTTAAAGGTCTTCAAATTCCCTTTATAATGATATATAATTAATGTACTTCAGTTCAGTAGTTTTGAAGATTTATTGATTTAAAGCTTAAATAAAACTAATACATCATCATTAGTGGAGATCAATACATTTAAAGCTTAAATAAAACTAATACATCATCATTAGTGGAGATCAATACATTTGGCAGCAAAGTAATTTAAAAATGAAGAATGAACTGACCCGTTAGGCAAGTAAATGTTGAAAATGGCCACCATGACTCTCCATGCAATAATAAAGATTTTGCTCATAACGTTGCCGCATATTTTGCAATATTTGAGGAGTAATTTGAAGGCACTCATTCACAATTCTTTGTCGCAGGTCTTCTAATGATGTTGGCTGAGTAGCATAGATTTTGCTTTTTAAATGACCCCACATAAAGAAATCCAAAGGTGATAAATCTGGCGATCTTGAAGGTCATTCAATGGCACCTCTTCTACCAATCCATCGATCTGGAAACGTCTGATCTAAATATTGTTGAACACGTAATGCGTAATGTGGTGGGGCACCATCCTGTTGGAACATCAACCTATTCGCAATGTACCGCCGATCATTCCGATTTTCAATTATGCCTGTTAATGCAGGATCTATGGCGTCTTCCAGTAATTCCAAATACATTTCACCGGTCAAATTTCCAGGTAACAAAAAAGGACCAACTAAATGATCGCCAAAAATACCAGCCCAAACATTTAATTTTTGTGGCTGCTGTGTATGAAACCTCATGATAAATTCTGGGATTAGAATCGGACCAATATCGGCAGTTATGACGATTTACTACGCCATTCAAGAAAAAGTAACATTCGTCGGAAAAGCAAGTGCTGAATAGACAATGTTCATCGTTTATAATTCGTTCACACATATCTTCACAAAATTGTAATCGACGATCAAAATCGTCTTCATTAAGTTCTTGTACCAGGTGAATTTTATACGGATGAAAACTATGGGCCTTTAGAATCCGTTGGACAGTACGTCGACTAACACCACACCAATTTGCGGGTACTTAACGTAGGATCTACATAAACTTGCCCTAAAACCCCACTTCTATTGCTTTGTTTCTTATGGGATTTTCAATGTTGCGTTTTTTACTGGCGACTGACCCAGTTTCCCGAAATTTAGCTACAAGTTCTAGAACATATTTTCGATGCACGTTACTGTTCTCATGTCGATCATTAAATAATTCTGCTGTTCTATTAGCCCACTGATTATTTCCGAAAAATATTTCGATAATTTCAACTCTTTCTGTTGTGGAATATACCATGGTTAATTTATGTAATAAAGCGTTACAAATTATTTTAGGAACAAAGTTTGGTCAAATCAATCGCAAACTATGTACTAAATTCCTATTTAAAATAAGTACGAGATATTTTCTTATCTTTCTTTAAGAAATAACTTTTTTGCCACAAAAAAAGCTCCAATAGCTATTTTCAACAACAAAATGATAAACAAACCATGTGCGTAGTGAAGAAAAGCATTTACTTATTAAGTAAATTCTTTTAGTCAAATTTCTTCTGAAAGTAGTGCAAAATAATCTGATGTACCTATAAATATTCAAGACTACTGAACTGAAGTACATTAATTTTATACCATTATAAAGGGAATTGAAAGATCTTTAGAATAAACTATCACTTGACCCCCCTTTCCATTTAAGATTTCAGGGTTGGTGTCACCCCCGCCCAGGGGGATGCACGTGTTAACGTGATTTTCTGCCAAACTTGTGTCCCCCTCGAAAACAAAATCGACGGGTCTGAGCGTTTTTTCAAAAAAAGTGTGCTGCCAGTAAATGCGTTTGCTTTGTTTCCGATGCGCCACCCTGTATAATACGCATAGAAAGGGTTCCATATTCCATATCAAAGAAATCATACTCAAGTTTTGGTCGCACCAGTGAGATAAAAAGAGCTTTTAGTGCCGCTTCGTTGGAAAAAGATCGGCAGTTACACGTTATGCAACCCAGAATCCGTGTCACTTCGGAAGTGACGTGTGCTACATGGACAGAAAAGTCCAATCTACAGGAAAATGTTACACCAAGATCTTTAGTCTCTGTTGTTCTGCCCAAAACCACATTATTTATGGAGTAATCAAAAATAATCGGATTCATTTTACGACAATATGAACATACTTTGCATTTGGAAATATTTAAGAAGAGAATATTATTGTCGCACCACTGTGTGATGGTACGCAGATCGTCCTGAAGGGAAATACAGCTCTCCAAATTTGTAATTTTGATGTAGATTTTCAGATCATCAGCAAATAGTAGAGATTCACACTTTAGCGAAGCGGCTAGGTTATTTATGAAGAATAAAAACAGCAAGGGACCTAGTTTTGAACCTTAAGGTACTCCAGAGGGAACAGTATAATTAGCTGAAGAACAACCATTATAATAAGCATATTGTGTCCTATTAGAAAGATATGAGCTTAGAAGACCGACTAACGAGTCACCAAGGCCGAAATAATGAAGGCTATCCACAAGAAGATGATGGTTTAATTTGTCGAAAGCCTTGCTGAAATCCATGTAAATAACATCGACTTGTTGTTTATTGTCTAACGATTCTGCTATATACTGCGTAATTATCATTAAATTTGACGTAGTAGATCTACCTTTGATGAAACCGTGCTGTGATGGTGTAATTAGGCTTTTAACGTTATCGAAGATAAAAGAGTAAATTGCCATTTCCAAAGCCTTTGCAAAGTTTCAAGACCGGACACACCTTTGCTATCTTCCAAACATCAGGAAAAATTCCACTTTGTAATATAGCATTGAAAATTATCAGCATCGGCTTGACAAAAACATGAGCACAATCTTTAATAATAAAACTAGGTATTTGATCTCTACCAGACGTAAGTTTATTTTGAAGCTGAGGGAGGTTCCGTTAATTCCTCTAGATAAATACATGTTGAGGTGACGCTATCTAAAGAAGAGGGAATATTTCGAGGAGTAAAATACACACTCTTAAAATAGTCAGCAAATGCATCAATAACACCTTGTGGAGTATTAAATACGTTGCCATCGAACTGGACTTGGCCTGGTAATCTGCTAGAGTCTCCCTTGTTCCGAATGTATGACCAGAACTTCTTCGGGTCGTCGACTATACTGTCCTCGAACGAGGACAAGTACTCAATGTAAGCAACTCTAGTTTGCCCCTTTATGATTCTGCGTAATCTAGAAAATTCATTGTAATAGTAAACATTGCTTGTTCTCTTACATTTTCTGTAGTAGTAATCCTTCAAATTTATGTTACTCATAATTTCTCCAGTATACCAAGGAGGATACCCGAATTTGCAGGTATGCGTATTTTTAGGAAAATAAATATCAAATATTGAAAAAGCATAAAATGTATCCGCATAGTTCATTAACATCTGTAATTTTACGTAATAACTTGATTCCTCTAAGTTAAGAGGAAAAACCACATGCAACAGTGAAGCTTTAAATGAAATGATTAGATTCCGAAATGATTCGTAAGGCATTTCAGTACCACATGTCCACGAAAAACTAATTGATAAATAGAACTAAGAAATGGAAAATGAATAATAGTTTAAACAAACTAATACACACGCTTTTATAGCTAACCGAACTTTACCTACCCTACTTTACTGCTACAGTCTGGCCTTGCTCGTTTTAGAAGAAATAAGATCCGATGATCCCTTCAGCCGACATGGCCCTACAAACTGTAGCATAACGCGAATGCAAAGGCTGTTGGTGGTGTAATTCGGTAATTTCAAATGAAAATGAACTTCGTCAGAAAATAGAATGTTGTTCAAACTTGGAAAGCGCTCTAAGATTGTTCAAAGTATCGTTTTCTGCAAAGTACGTGAAATTGGAAAAATGATCTTTGGCTAGTTCTGTCTCTGTCTGAGAACATAAAACACGACTATTAACTTGAATTGATTTCCTACAAATTCAATTTTTTACTATGGAGAATATCATCGAAACGCTGTGACAATAGACTGTACTTTTTCAGGTCGAATAACCTCTTAAGCCTAGTTCTGCGGCTACAACTCAACATCGAACTTCATCTAATATTTGTCTACTTAGGCAAGTCTCTTTTTTCCGGTAGTCCAGCTGAAATAGTGCCTGCCAATACAGAAGCTTGCCAAATAGTTTCCTTGGAAATCTTTGTCGCACTTGCCTTGGTGTTCGGTACAATCACCTCTGCCTACGTTTGGCTCTTCACACTTTTGTAAAATTATTACGTGGTTTCCTTTAGCTAACCTCCCATTTTTTTTCACTTACTTTTTTCTACTTTAACCCCAATTGGAATCATGCCTCCTTGCGATTGCGATGTTTTTGTACTGGCAGTCTATTTCTCGGTATACATTTTAACAAAACAACTGTAAAATACTTAAAAATGCATATTTAGCCATAACCACATATTGAAGAGTGTGACTTCTTTTTATTATTTTCATAATATCTCAAGACGATAACTTCAAGTAAAAGAAATTTATAGAAGAAGTCAGTTTCTATTAAACTTACCATCACCGACATAAACATTCAAGCAGATAGTTGTGTTTAAATGCTGCACGATAAAAAATAATAATCATTGACAATGCGAATTAGTATGACAGATAACCTAAGTTTTGAATGTTTAGAAGGTCAGGAAAATCCTTGAGGGATAATCTGGAATGAATTATTTCATTATATATTCTAAAAACTTCAAAACTTTCGCACACTAAGTCGTGGGCGCAGGGGAAGGTCAGTGAGGCGTGGCCCTGGTTAAACCTCAAAATTTGCATATTTAGCATGATTGTGTGTACAGTTTTGAGGATTTTTCGGATCTGTCCTCGTCCAACCAAATTTGCTATTCAAATAGTTTTGGAGGCACGTAAAATATCATAACAACCTCTTGCCAATGATCGGGCCCCCTAAGAAAAATACATACGAGCGCCCATACACTGAGTTTGGGAAAGATCGTTTGGAGAGCTATAGGTTCCAACCCTTTCATTTTTACACATTACCTCTCAAAAATGTTGCTCGCATCTAAAAGAAGTCGCTCTCTCCAATACTTTTATTTGATATCATAGAATTGCATAACCAGTTTTTATAAAATCGGTGGCTTATTTTTATCTTCACATTTGAATATCTTAGAGTAATTTAAAATCGCCAAATACTGAAAACAAGTCAGAAAAATAGCTCGAACCTTGTCCTTGGGCGAACAATAAAATTTATTTCAGATACTTTTAAAACGTATATTTTTTAGGGTATAAGCTTACTGCCAAACCATAACTGTTATTTTGATAAGATGATGCCGCCTTGAGATGATGTTGAAAATCATAATTATTTAAGTTCAATCCTCCCCTTAAACACCTGTTCATAAATGTCTCTAAAATGACACATTACATAACATGTATAAGAACTTAAACTTCAGGGTCAAGGTTATAGTTAACATACGTACATTTCAATTATTTTGCATTTGAATGTGAATATTGAAAATGGTCACCGCGAATACTATAAGTATTAAGTATGGAACATTTGATTTAAGTGTATAGTGCTTTCCAGAACGGTCCCGCCTATTTACCTTTTGAGGTGGTCAAGCTAGCAGGCTGAAATTTGACAGGTTGAAATTGACGCACAAACACTATATTTCAAACTGGCAGGCTGAATGTGCAATAAAATATAAGACTGAAAAACTAGCAGACTGTGATAATTTATTTAAATTAAATATATTTTATTAGAACGTTATAGTATGTTACGTCAATCTTTTTCTTTTGAAAGGGTCTATCTGAATGTGCAATAAAATATAAGTCTGAAAAACTAGCAGATTTTGACAATTTATTCAAATGGAATATATTTTATTACATATTCGGCTAAATTCCTTCCAAGTAAAGCATATTTTATAGCGTTTCTATGATTGGTTGTCAACTCCAAGATGGTAATTTCATATTCTGGAGTTATATGATAATCTTAAGAAGCTTTATAATGAGGTATAACACGTTCCGCTCTATTTAAAAAATGTTCGAAACTGGCGCCCACTCGTTATCTTCAAACCTTCAAATTCATGCATCAATTTTATTACCCCCATCTCAGCTTGCAAAACATAGCTAGGGGGAAGGGCGTGAAAAGCACTCCATAATCTTTAAGTAAATAATCCGTGCAGTATAAATGGTGTCTCAAATGGCTATGATGCAGGAGCTAACACTCTTATTTGGAGAGATGTTTCTGAGTGTATTCATATTTGCAAATAAAAGTGTTATAAGACTCAGATTTGATTTTGAGAGCACTTCATTATTCAATATTAGGTTCAATTTTTTTAAACTATATTATTGTTGTCCTGCTATTCTACTATTTTTAACTTAATATCACGTTACTTATATATTGTTATTCTACTATTAGGGGAAATATACGACTTACAATTATCAAGAAAAATATAGCTGCATATAAAGACTATGATATGGCAAAGCTAGTTACTATAAATTTAATATATAATATTTAGCATAATGTTTTTAAAAAGTATGTACTTATTCTTATGGTAGTATTTTTTCGTGCTTAGTTTAAGCTTAATATTCATGAAATAATTGATTCTAAATAGCCACTTCCATTTTTTAATAAACTTGAATTGAGTTATTGATGTTTTGGTAAATGATGCTTCCAAATACGATTTTTTTCTATACTGGCGTAAATTCAGAATCAGTTAAGTCAAAAAGGTCAAGTATTATTACTGGTAGACTATCTTAGTATTAATTTAAATTTAATTGTTACTCAGAAGTCTATTTTTATCTAAATTTAGTCATTTGATCTGGTTTATTTCTGGAAAAATTGATTCTAACGATTTAATAATTTAATTATTTTAGCTGAACTGTTGATGTTAGGTTATATGGCGATTTCAAAAATAAGTATTTTCCATAAATGAGCCAGCTCAAATTTATAAAGTATTATTATTAATAAAATTTAGAATTTAGTGTTTTGATATCGCTTTTATTTCAATAGGTATAGGATAGATATTTATCTCAATGTTGGTATGTATTTGGTATGTTATAACTTCGGAAGAATAGGATAAGATGATTAAAACAATGTTTGCGTATACCTGCCAGGTGAGACAAGCACATGTGTTATGCTGTTAACAATTTTGTTCATCAATGAGTGTTTGTAGTTGTTATTCAATAGTAAACAAAATATTTCTTCATACCAAACAGTATCAGCATTGAACGGGTGTTTACAGGGTTTCTTTCAATATATCATATAGGTATGTTTATGTTTTTTTTTCTTTAAACTCTAATAAAATGACTGTACAGTCTGATGTTTGTTTCATTTTTATTCCCTTTGTTTATTTTTCAACCTCCACACTTTTTTGAAATGATAGCGCATGCAACATTATCAAAATTACACCAGAGTACGTTGCTGCAATAGTTTTTATTTTAAATAAAAAAGTATTCAAAATTGTTTAATTCGGATCGCATCCATCAGGTTTTCAAATTAGTGGAGTAATAACAGTATTCTTGAAAAAATTAAATGGAAGTGAGTGGCATTTTATAATAGGAGGAATTCGTAAGCTTCTGCTCTTATCGCCAATTTTGTGACGAGAATATTAAATTAGAGATAGCACATTATCATTATGGTTATGCACCGGAAAGGTATGTAAGCATGTATCCCCAATAAATAGATAGGAACTAATATATTCAATTCTAGATACAACATGATTCATAATTGCCAAACTGATGATCAATGCTTTATTCAGATAATTTTACAAGCCAGTTGCTTTCGACGTACATACTTTTGCTTCTCATTGATAATAGATTTGAAATATTATGTCATGCGAACATTAATCAGTCTAACTCACGTTTGGCTTTCTATAGGTACATACTTGTTGTTTTACACCGGAACAGCCGCGGAGGTAGAAGCCTAACTGGCAGGACCCCGCTTCGAAACAAAAAGTACTTCGATTCAGAAATAACAAAATAGGGAACATATTTTCTTGTTGGACTTGCTTAGGTTAGCACTGATAAACATTTTCTACATAAAGATAGCAGATCATATACTGTATTTCGGAATACAAAACATTATCCGAAATGAAAATAGATCCTTTAACCTCATTATTGAGAATTTGTCACAGCTTTGTTGGTCCTCTTCTTTGTATTGCCAATTTGCATGTATCCGACAAAGATAGACGATGTTTTCATGTTGCATGATCGATCATATTTAAAAGATGAATAGTTAGGTTATGTTAAAGCAGGTTAGGTGGTTTGGTGTTCCTGTCTTAAGGTATTCTACTCATAACCATTTTTTTTTCAAAACAAAAGCTCCCCACTAAAATTATTATTACGGTATCCTCAAAACCATGAAATAAAATGAAAATAAAAATAATCAGTGAAATAACCTAGCTTCGCAAAATGATAATACAAATTTGTTGTGATTATGTTCCTGAAATCGTGATTTTATCAACGACGTACGTCCATTGATTACTTCAGTACAATTTATGGTATGACGTAATAGTCAGCTCTCGTGATTTTGACTATAATCAAGTTCAAGCGCAAAACCAAATGAAAATGGTATTTACCATTTTGGATTGGTATTTACCGACCCGTTCCAGCGAGTGTGGTTATCAGTTTGGTTATAAGATCCGTGACATCATGAATCAGCTGTTATATGTCATAGTTATCACCGCAAAATTGTGGTATTTACCCAACTCAGGAGTAGTTTTATATTTGTGGTTATTATTTGACATGTGACAAGTTAGAATTTTGCCGAGTATTGGATATTTTTATTGTACTTCAGCTTCATTTTTTGGAAACTTGATACAGGCTGACTTCAGTTTAGTTATAATCATTACTATTGTTGGGAACACTTCTAGTTCCTATGCTTAACAAAGTAACCTGTATAGCCATAAACCACAAGAATATTAAAATATGGCCATATAAACTCACTGTATGATGTCCACCTGTATACAGTTTTGTTAATATCTATTTTCATCGCTTTTTCATCATTTCTGCTAGACCAATAAATATTTTCTTTGACAAGCGGAAAAGTTTAGAGAGTTGAAAGTTATCATAGCTACAAAGCCATGGTTCCATCAGTAAACATTTTTTTCTGAAAAAAAAACATTCCTCCCATTAATACTATGAAAGGTTTCTTTTTTTCAACTTTCCATACCCCGTTGTAGCCGAAAAAGCACCGATTATTGAGTGATAATAAAAATAATCAGAAATTATATACGCGCTTTTCTAAAATAAACAACTTGAAACCAACCGCGGTTAAAACCAACGCGTTCAAGCGATTCGAGTAACTGACGTCATCATCCCGTGTGTCATCTTGAACCATATTATAACCGCGGTACATAATACGGAAATTTTGGTTATTCGCTTGGATTTGATTAATATCTCAGTTACCGGTCGATGGTTCGTGGACAGTGATGGTACTACGGAGATCTAGAAAACAAAATGAAAACTTATCTCCACATTGCCAAGACACAAAAAAGTTTTCAGTTGTTTTGTTTCGTGTAGTACACACTAAAAATTTTCAGACTGAAAATATGTGGCGCTTTTATGCTGAAATAAAGTCATTTAGAACTACCTACCATGTTGTTTAATTTCCATATGCAAAACTTAAAAGACATCCCTCGTATATGTTACGACCTTTTAAATTGAGATGTTGAATGTCTCGGGATAACCAAGATATACTTATTCTTTGTGTTCAGTTGACTAACATCTGAGTATCTGATAAATTTGGTTGATAGACATGGAGGGGCTTGTGTTGTGACTACTTTATGTGTCAAGGTCAATACGTGCATTTTCTGTAGCTCTTCTATTTCTGAACACCCAGCTCATCATATTTATGTGATACTGTCTTAAGTTTTCTCACTCCACAAACAAATCTAAGACACGCATTTTGAATAGTCTGAAGTCTCCTTATCTCAATCGATCTTAGTGCAGGCCCATAAATACAGTCACACTAGTGAATTCTAGACCATATTAATGTTTCGCACAACTTCAGCTTGAGACCAGTATTCATACCTTTTCTATGAGGAAATAATTGCTTCAAGACACCGAATCTTGTTCGGCACAGTTGACTAACATGTTTTTCAAACCTCAAATCAGAATCAGTCCAGAGTCCTAAATTCTTGCACTCATTTTTTATAGGGATCGGTTGGTCGATGGTTTGAAGAAACGCTCCCAAAGCTTCACGACAATGCCGTCATTGTACTTGATAATGCTGCATGCCACACTAGAAAACTAGAAAAAGTTCCCACAATGTCCACAAGAAACGCAGAAATTCAACAATGGCTCCTATCAAAAGATATTGGTTTCAGTGAAAATATGGTCAATGTGGATTCAAACAATAGAACATTCAAATTTTCTGACGTGAAAAAATGTTTTATGAAGCTGAATGGCGGGAAACAAAGTTGTGGGATCTGGATTCAAATTGAACCTGTAATAATTAATATTAACCATTCTGACGATGATTCAAGTATTTCCAGCAAATACAGAATTGTGAAAAGTATATGCACTTCTTTCTATAGAAATAATCATTTATTTTGTTAGATTATTCCAATACCATTGAGGAAAATACGGACCTGTACTATCTCGCTCTTGGACATGTTGTGTTTTCTCTGGGGGTAAATGGACTATGAATGGAATAT